GAGCTTGAAGGATCTCTGAGACGGGTTAGAAGAAGAAGGCTTAGGGTTTTTGGGTTTGAGCTTGATTTTTATATATACCGAGTTTTAATGGGGAAACTGGAAAAAGTTTAAGGGTAGTTTGGTCAATGAAAATGAAGGCCCCATTTCGGCCCAGCTGTAGAAAACTACGTCTCAATTATAGTGGGAGTTCAGTTTGTTGGACATCATAGGAAGTAACTATACGAAGCCCATCTACTGCTACATTTCTTTATTTTAATTTTTAATTTTAATTTTTTAAATAAGTTGCTAATCAATTGATCAAGCATTTATTTACTAATCTATCTATATATATAAAGCAAAAGATAGAGAATGGTGAAACATTCAAAATACCAGAAAATGCCCTTGATTAATGCAAACATTAAGAAATGAAATTATTAATTAAATGAGGATAATATAGTAAATTCACACTTTTTCATATTTAAAAAAAATAAAATTAAAAGAAAAATTAGATAAAGGATCCTATTTTTATGGAACACAACTACCCATTATCTTTTTTAATTCTAAAATAAATTTTTTTAATTTTTAAAAAAAGCCTCTTGCAGGCGCGGAAGCGCGTGCAGAGATGGTAGTTTATTATAACCGCCCTATACATAAACAAAGATTTATGATTGTGATGTAAACGAGGAGAATCTAATCCAATATTTTAATATGTAATTGTTGAATTATATTACAGGAAAAAAATGTTGGATCTTGTACTCCTTTTGTTTTTAAATTTTTGGGCTGATTTATTTACTCATGGTAAAAAAAAATTAAATCTTTGATTATATATATAGTAAAAAAATGGACCACCTTTGGTAGTCTTATACATGTAGATCAAAGATGCTTCAAACTATTAAAAAATGATTGTAATTTTACATGTCCAAATTTTTTAAGATGAAAGGTTGAGATTATACTTTTGCCTAAGTTTTGTTAATTTTCAACTCCTGCACACATAAGAGTAAATTGGAAGAGAGATAATTGATTTTTCTTATTATATACAGGTCATAGTGAAAGAGGGAGATTTGAATGGAGGAACTGCGATGCAGAAGTAACTATTTTTAACAACTCGAGTTACAAATCTCTTGTCAAATTGAGAATTGAATTAAAAAAACTTGAAATAATATACAACGATTGTTTGTTTTTAATTATTTACATCATCACCATATTTTTAATAAAAAAAACCAAAAAAAGAAAGAAAAAAAAAAAGTAATCAATAATAGTGTGAAATTTAGTTTTTGTATTTTGTAATAAAGTTTTACAGTCAAAAGAGCAAGGAGTAAATGGAGGGAGCAGGTGAGACATTTACATAAGAACGGTAGGAGAAGATGAATTAAAAAGACAACAAATGCCACTGTAAGTGGAGCCAATTTACACAACTGCCACTTCCAATGTAAAGCCAACGATGATGATTGGGGAGGCCTTTACCGGGCGCCTTCATGTTTCGTCCACTTCCACCTATTCTTCAAGAAATGAAGAAAACCCAAATGGGCATTGACTTGCAGGTATAGACCTTCTTTTTACACTTCTTCCTTTTTTAAATTTTCATTTGAACTTTAACTTACTACCAAATTTGTATAATACCATAATTGAGCACCAGCTCATACGCAAAAACCATGCTTTAATTTCATATAATATTGACCACGAATCCCATGCTCTCCATCTTCAATTCTGCATGTTAAATCTCGTGAGATTCCAGCATTTGATCAAAGCCGAAATCTTGGTCTGGGTATCGGTTACTTTCTTCTCTTTTTTGTTTTTTGTTTTTGTTTTTTTGGTGTGCTTGTCTCACTGGATGTAGAAATTGTGATCAAAAGCTGCTGAAGATTTTTCAGTGCCTCATTTGAGATCCAATTGAGTTCAGTATTATGTTTCAGCTTCTGGGTCCTTATAAATAACAGCTCTGGGTTCAATTTTTGATTATCAAGCTCTGGTTAGAGGTACCCTTAATTTGAGTCGAGTTCCTCATAGAACATTTTGCATGATCTCTTTCTTCTGCCACACCCATCTGGTCATTTGTGTTGTTTAATTTGTGACCATCCTTGTTTGTGTTGTTTTCATCTCCATAGATCCTCTCTGTTCTTATAATTTGCTCAGTCCATTGAGTTCTTGTTTGTGACATTAGTCAATGCATACTTCTATGTTATTTCCAATTGGCCTATCCTTGCGTTTGGAATCCCAATGTTTAGGTGCTGCTGAAATTTCCTTAGTTATTAGTATCTTATTGAATTCTTGTACTGTGAGTTTTGATCTGTCATAGTATGCTTTAGACTGTAGGGCTCAATGTCAATCCTATGTGGCTGCCCTCTCATTGAGTGCGTTTACTGTCTGGCATGTACCCGCTGGGCTTGGAAGCGATGCCTCCACACAGCGGGTCATGACAGTGAGACTTGGGGGGTTGCCACTGCTGAAGAATTTGAGCCTGTTCCTCGCCTTTGCCGCTACATTCTAGCTGTTTATGAAGATGACCTTCGTCAACCCCTTTGGGAGCCCCCTGGTGGGTATGGAATTAAACCAGATTGGTTAATTTTGAAAAAGACATATGAAGATACTCAAGGACAAGCTCCTCCATATATATTATATCTTGATCATGACCATGCTGATATAGTTCTTGCCTTCAGAGGCCTTAACTTGGCAAGAGAGAGTGACTATGCAGTTCTTATGGATAATAAGCTGGGCAAGAAGAAATTTGATGGCGGGTATGTTCACAATGGGCTATTGAAAGCCGCTGAATGGGTTCTGGATGCAGAATGTGAGATTTTGAAAGATTTGGTAGAGAAGTATCCAAATTATACTTTGACTTTCACGGGACACTCCCTAGGGTCCGGTGTAGCAGCATTGTTAACAATGGTGGTGGTGCAGAACAGGGATAGGTTGGGGAACATTGATCGGAAGAGGGTTAGGGGCTATGCTATTGCACCTGCGAGGTGTATGTCATTGAACTTAGCCGTCAGATATGCAGACGTCATCAATTCTGTTGTGCTTCAGGCAAGTATTTAATCCCTTTCTTTGTTCATATTTTGTCTCGGTAGGAAGAATTTGTTTGATAAGTTTAAAGGAATATACATCTTATTATGCTTCAGCCTTATATTGGCATCTTCTATCTCATTGTTGTGTAAATTGTTCATCTTAAAAGCTCCTTTGTCTGTATTGGCAATGCATGGGAGCTTATTCTTTGAAAAACTAAACACTAAAGGATGTATTCCCACAACTATACAATAGACTTTTATAATCTTTAAGTAGTAGTTCCGTAAATGCATTCCTTAGATTTGATTTTGATCATTATGCTGAACCAGGATGACTTCTTACCTCGGACAGCTACACCCTTGGAAGACATTTTCAAGTCACTTTTCTGGTATAATTGGCTCTGATCACTCTTTTCAACTATTGCTTTGTTTCAGCTGAAGGGGCCCATAAAGAGGGCATACTTAATATCTTAAGAATTAGTTAGGTGATCATATCAATTTTGGATTTTTAGTTATCTGGATTTTCACCTTTTAAATGTTAATTCAATATATTGTTAAAATTGGACTTTATTTCGTTAAACAGTTTGCCGTGCCTACTGTGCATACGATGCATGAGGGACACATGCATACCTGAGGAGAAGATGCTCAAAGATCCAAGGAGGCTGTACGCACCTGGCCGCCTCTATCACATTGTTGAGAGAAAGCCTTTTAGGTATTGTCAGTCATTAATGAGCAAACTTTTGGGATTATCTGCTCAAAATAGCTGCAGAAACTTATTTTATCCTGACCAAGATTACTAAGAACAAGTTTCTCGTGTTGTTCTTGCTTTTGTCAGTGTGTGGTCAATATGCAAACTAACATAGAATATCATATACCTATATCCAGGTCCTGTTAACTAAATCTTTCCTATTAGGGATTTTATACAATGGTACCTGGTGTATGCGGGATTTGCCACATCCACATTGAACCAAAGACATAGCAGTTTAATAGATATTTTGCTGAGCAGGGAGTAACTGTTGATCTTATCTTGTGTAAAGGACTTCTCATCTGCATATTTTTGTTTGCAGGTTAGGAAGGTTTCCCCCAGTGGTCAAGACTGCAGTGCCCGTAGATGGGCGATTTGAGCACATAGTTCTTTCTTGTAATGCCACTTCAGACCATGCCATCATTTGGATAGAGAGAGAAGCCCAAAGGGCTCTAAAGGTTAGTTTTTCCCTCAAGTAGATTTTATAGGAAATATGTCTACTTTCTGCATTTGCAAAAGACTAGGTTTCCAACTTGCAATAGTCTGGTGTCTCAACCTCTGCAATTTTTTTTCCACTTCCCTTCAGTTAATGTTGGAGAAAGATCAAATTATGGAGATACCGCCGAAGCAAAAAATGGAGCGGCAAGAGACGTTAGCCAAAGAACACACTGAGGAGTACAGGGCTGCATTACAGAGGGCTGTCACGTTGGCCGTGCCTCATGCATATTCACCATCTATCTATGGAACTTTTGATGAGAAGGATGAGGAGGAGCGTTCATATGGATCCAGTGGGGAATCTTCTTTTGGTTCTGCTAAGAAAAGCAAGACATTTGTTGTGCGGTTTTGATTTTGAAGAGAAAAAAAAAGAAAAAAAAGAGAGGAGTGATTGTTGTTATTATGATGACTTGATAATTAGTGATCGATCATTAATTTATTGTAATATTTTTTCCTTTACAATCATAGAGGAAAAAGAATAAACATGCGACAAACTATTCATTGATTCATTCCCTACTTTTTTCTTGAGCTAAAAGTTGTAGCTCTCTGTAATGCCTCATTTCATGACAAATTTGTTTATTTTGGTCAACATTTCATGACAAGTTTAAACATTTTGATGATTGTAACATTAATTCCTTGATAAAAAACATAAACAAACCAAATTATGATAAATACAAGGAAAGGAAACCATTTAATGGGTGCTTTTTTAATAATAATTATTTATAAAAATAAAAATAAAAAACTTTTGCATTCCATTGTGTTTTCAAAGTACTTTACATTTAACCCAAAAAAGAAAGGAAAAAAAAAGAAAGAGAGAAAGGCAGCGGAGGCAAGTATATTTCACGCACAACACAGAGGTTCAGTTAGCGTCAATGGCTTCCCTCGTCTCAATCTTTCTTCTTTTGGCGTTTACGTCTTTCTCCTCCAGCTCTTCTGCTGAAGTGTAAGAAATCATCTCAATTTTCATTTCTGTAGCCTCATCTTATTTATGACTCAATCTTAAGCTAACCGCAATTTGAGATTCACTAGTAGATTTCGCAATTTTTGGTTCCTTAATTCTCACATTTCAGCCTTGTTTTCACGCTAATTAATTAATTAATTAATGGGTATCGTTGAGTATTTCCATATCCATGTAAATGTTCGCTATTCTGGGCACTTAGGCTTTAAATTTACAGTTTTGCCAATGATCTATAGATTCTGGAATTATACATTCTTTATCCTCATTCTGCCCAAGCCCTACTCATTTATTTATTTATTTATTGTTGTAAATTGTTGAAGTTCGAAAAATCGGCCTAGGCGCTAGGCGGGAGGACGGTTTCTTCTCTACTCGTCAGAGGTATCTTTGAATTTTTCTTCTTTTTTTGTTAAGAGGAGATGATGGAGGCAGAGAAAGAGGAGAGACGATGGAGGTAGAGAGAGATGGGAGGTGATGAAGGCGGAGGTATGAGAGATAAGCGTGGATAGGGTTCGTCCAAAAAAAAGGTGCTAGGGTTAGTGAAACGTTGTGTTTCACTTATGGGCTGGTATTTTAACAAGGTTCTCTTATGGGCTTGGGCCCATATACTAAAACATAATTGTGTTTTTATTTCAACCTCTGCTTTATATCAAATGAGTAAGACAAAATAATTAATTTTGGTATAAATTTATAATACAAAATAATTATTATTTTTTTATTAAAAAAAAAAACGCCTACGCCCCCGCCTATGCCCCGATTACACCTCTAGGCGCTAGGCCACCCGCCTACTGCCTAGCAATGTTTCGAACATTAGCGACATATTATATTTTGAGCTCCATTTTTTGCTAGTCTGAGTTGCTAAATAGACATAAATTAAGAAAAAGAAAGATGCCTGTCACAAACTGAGGGAAGTGTTTATTTCTGTCTATGTTTCGACTGTGTTTGTTTGGTTCATTCTACTTGTCCTTAATCTTTTCTGTTGCGATCATTTTGCTTCAGTAGCAGGAAGGAACTAAGGAGTGAGGAAGCCAACAAAGAAACTTTCATACACTTTGGCCACTCAGTTCATTCTAACAGAATTGACCCTTCACGGGCTGTCCAACTATCTTGGCGACCAAGGTCAGGTACATTGATGAATTTCTTATTTCATGAATTTCGTGGAGTTTCCAAATCGGTGAATGTGTAATGTCTTGTTGCTGTAAGACTCTGAGTTCTTGATTCTTGCAATAGGGTCTTTTTATATCAAGGTTTCCTATCAGATGAGGAGTGTGACCACCTTGTTTCTTTGGTACATCCCCTGACATCTTTCTTTGAGATTTTCAGCATATAAATTGGTTAAGGCTGCTTGGTAGTTCTAAATTGATATTTTGGGCTTAGGCACGTGGTGGAGAAGAGAAATCATTGACAGAATATGATGATTTAGGAAACACCAACACAATCAGGCTGCGTAAAAGTTTAGAAATTCCCTTGAACATGGAGGTACCTTTCATGTTTTCCGTGACTCGTTATTGTAATTGGGTTTCAGAACACCAGTACTACTGACTGTCAAAGTGTGCGTTCTTAATCATTTCACCGGTATGCTGCACAATATCTGATGATTAATTGTCTTTTGGTTTCTAGGATGAGATAGTTTCAAGGATTGAGGAAAGAATTTCAGCTTGGACTTTCCTTCCTAAAGGTATCTCCCCTCAGTGTTATTGCTATGGTCTTCTATTCCTGAACTGGCTGACTTGTTGGGCATCATACCTTACATATGTAGTGCTTGTGTTTGTCCTTCAGAGAATAGCAGAGCTTTACAGGTTTCCCGTAATGGGGTCGAGGAGGCTGAGAAGAATTTAAATTTTTTTGGTAACAAATCTACATTGGAACAGAGTGAGCCCTTGATAGCAACAGTCATTTTGTATCTCTCAAACGTCACTCATGGTGGCGAGATTCTATTCCCAGAGTCTGAGGTGAGAATCTCACCGTGAGATAGAAACTGTCCCTTATTTCTGCTTTTTCGTTATAGATTTGGGATGTATTGTCAAATGCTGATCACGACTGAAACCATCCCAGCTGAGGAGCGAGGTTTGGTCTGATTGTGGAAAGAGTAGCAGCATCTTGAAACCCACTAAAGGAAACGCAATCCTGTTTTTCACTCTTCGTCTTAATGCATCTCCGGATAAGAGTAGCCCCCATACCAGATGCCCAGTACTAGAAGGGGAAATGTGGTGTGCCACAAAATTCATTTATGCAAAAGCCATTGGTGGGGAAAAAGTGTCATCCGATTCCGAGAGCAGCGAATGCACCGATGAAGACAATAACTGTCCCAATTGGGCTTCGATTGGGGAGTGTCAAAGGAACCCTGTATTCATGGTTGGTTCGCCTGATTACTATGGGACATGCAGGAAGAGTTGTAATGTGTGTTGATGGGCAAACCTCTAGAGTGTCCTTTACCTTGACAACTATTGTTTCCACAATGCAGATTGGTCAATAAAGATTACAGCGTGAATATCAAACTTCTTAATTTGATTTCAGTGTTCAAATGGTAGGATTTCATTTCTGCAAAGAAAGCTCTACAGTGAAAAAATTCAAAGCAATTCCATTCCAAATCAAGCTTGAAACAGTTTAAAGGTAATGAATTATTGAAGAAAATCCAGATGAAAGATCAAAATTCCACCATAAATACAAAAGCAAACTCCAAATTGGAAGAACATGAGAAGCAGCAGAATTGATCTATGGCACAGATGCTAGAGATGGGTTTGGCTTCTTTAAAGCACATGAAGATTTGAAGGCCTCAATCTGTGACTGGCACTTGACGTAGTCCCCTTTGTTCTCCTCCAAGCATTTCTTCAGGGCCTCAACATCGCACGCAGACATTATCTTCTTCCTCTCGATGTTCTTTGTTTCCGAAGCCCTCTCGTCCATTGTTGCTTGCTTCCAATCGGTGGAAATCGAACAACTTGTAAAATCAATTTATAGAGTCGTGGGTTTATTGTCTCCCTCCGTTGTTTGGCGGCTGAGAAAAAGGAAAATGCGAGCTCAGTGAAAACGCACCGTTTGCAACCCAAAACAAAGAATGAAACGCAGCGTTTTGTGACAGAAACAAAAAATGAAACGCAGCGTTGTAATAAAATTGTTCTCTTGGGCTGTCATTTAACATGCGTTCGATGGGTTCCGGGTTGTTTCTGCGCTAGCCCATATAATGGCTATCCTTTTCAGGAGAGGAGAGGGAGCGTAAGATGAACGACACGTCAGCAAAATTTGAATGGATGCCCTCCCAGGCCTTAACGGCTATTTGGTTCTTACCAAAAAATAAAGACCAAAATCAAAATAAAATCAAAACCAGAACCAACAAATTCAGAACCCTTTTACTCCCAATTGGCAATTCTCGTTGAGTAATCTTCCTCTCTCAAAATTTTCAATTTCACGCTTTTGGATCCCAAATTGAAACCCTAATTTCAGTAGCTGAGAAATTTTCAGTTCTATATGGCGTCGTCTTTGTGCGACCACCCTGACCGCACCAAGACCCCTATGCGTCCGAACCCATCTCGGAAGGTACGAGTTGTAGCGAAGATCGGGGGTTTTACGGGTCCGGAGGGGGAGCTATCAAGTGAGGTTTCTTGGATCTCTGTGAACAAGCCCAAGGGAGAGGCTTCTGAGAGTGTCACTCTCTCTTTCAGACAACAGGAAGCAAGGTAATGTTGCTCTTTGTGCCGGGGTCTTATTTATTTCTCTTTTTTTATTTCGTCATAATTCTATTATGAAAATGTAAACTTTGGTTGGTATTTTTTTCGTTTCTGAGAAAGCCTGGAAAATGAAAAGATAAAGTTCTTGGTAGTGTCAGATAAATTAACTTGTAAATATTATATTTTGGCTAATACAGCTAGTCGGCTTAATTGAATTGAGGCATTTCAAATTTCAGGCTTAAAAAGTGAACACCAATAATTGGATAAATTGAATTTTCTTTCCTCTTCGTTATCTTTTTTGTTTTATGATATAATAAAACAAGAATTTTCGTTTGCTGTCTTGCAGCCGTAAAGAATCTTATGAAGTGGACTACTGCTATGATCAATATGAAGACAATAATGTGATTTTTTCGCGAGAAGTAAAGCCTCTAATTCCTGGGATTCTTGATGGTTGTAATGCCACTGTGATTGCATTTGGAGCGAGAGGCAGTGGAAAGACTTGCTTAATTCAGGTGAGTGTATTTCTATTAATCCCAAAAAAAGCTTTCACTCTAGTTTCTTGGGAAATAAACTTTACAATAATGAGTTGAACCACTTGATTTTGAAGGGTTCTAGTGAGAAACCGGGTTTGGCAGCACTAGCAATGGCTGAGATTCTTTCACTGACTGAGAAAGATGGAAATTCAGTTACTATATCTTCCTATGAGGTTTATCAGGACCATGTATATGATATCTTGGACCCAGAACGCAAAGTAGTTTTGGTACAGGGTGATGCTCAAGGAAAAATTCGGCTTAAAGGACTTTCTCAGGCAAGTTATTTGGTGTTTTCAATGTAGATGGTAAGACTGGGCGTCTATTGTACATTCTTGATGACATAATTTCCATAACTTTCCAGGTTCCCGTGAAATCCATTTCAGAGTTCTACAAATTATGTGTTACTGGGTGTGGTTCCCGTAAACCAGCACAAAAGGTAGCAACTGAACTTCCACGTAGGAGCCACAAGGGCTTGATAGTGCATGTATCATCTCCCAGTGAAAACTCAGATACACTTCATGTGGGCAAGTTGAATTTTGTTGACTTGGCAGGTTGAATTTTTTAAGCACAGGCCACAAATATATTTTTCAGCCTCTTTGGTTTTAACAATGTTATATAGGCAATAACTTTGTTGAATCTGCCCTTAACAGGTTATGAGGATACCAGAAAGAAAAGTATCAACGGCCTTAATCTTGTTGAGAATAGTAAAATTCATAAGACAATGTATGCCATGTTAAATGTTGTTCACGCATTGAGTACCACAGAAAATCATGTGCCTTACCGGGAAAGCAAGCTCACACACTTATTGCAAGACTCCCTGGGTGGGGCAAGTAGAGTTTTGACGGTCACTTGTTTGGTAAGGTTTTAAGTTTGGTTGCAAGTTTTCTTTTTCTGGTTTATTGTTGTTTGACAGCTTTGACTGGCTTTGATCACCTTAACATATTATCTCTCTCTTTCACTGTAGAAACCTTCATTCTGCCCAGATTCCATTTACATGGTAAGCTTGGTGTCTCGCTCTTTTCAAAACAACAATGGGATAGACTCCACAAAGAAAACTAAGTGTTTGACAAGATCGGCGGTGCTTTCATCACGTAAGATCCATGTACCCAAGACCATTTCTGTTACAGCAAAGAAACAAACCATTTCCAGAGTGCCTCTTTCTGACAAGAAGATCAATGGTAGTACGGCATCCGTATTGAAAGGAAGGTATGTTAAGAAGGTCCCTCTTGTAAACTAAGTTGTAGTTGAATCATTTTTCCTGTTCCAATGTACTGACTTTAATTTATAATATATTTTTTCTTTTTAAAGGAAGCTATTTGATGAAACAAGTCAGTTGACCAAATCGGAGAAGGTACCTAATCTCCAACTTTGTATCAGATATTGTTGTCTCATTTATCCTGGATATGCGCAAAGGTAGAAAAAGCACCACCTTATCAACTCGAAACTGTTTGATTCATATGCCAGGATTATAAGCACATCTAACATATGAGTGTGGGAAGCTTATATGCTTTCCCTGACACATTTCTATGCCAAGCATTTTGCAATCTCAGATATGAGAATTTGGATTTCCAACCTGAATTTTAGCTTATTAGATTTTAATGCAGGTAAGTGCAATCTCAGATGTGGCCTCAACCACAGAAACTTCTTTAGATAAAGAGGTGAGGGTCTTTTATATTTTACCTTTGATCTGGTCTATATTCAGATTTTCAAGAAGTGAGGATACTTGTAGGGGAGTAATCTTGTATTCATATTCAGACATTGCATCGTATTTTTGCAGGAAATGTCCATTTCAAACGTTACCAAAGCAACAGAACATCTAGAATGTGTAATTTATCCTTCACAGTATTCCTGTATTGTTATAGAATAATACCTTTGGAATCTGTGACTGACGGCAACTGATGGTCTATGCAGGAAAATTCATTATCAGATACTTTGAAGCCCACAGAATTTACTTTTATGGCTGAAAAGGTAATCAATAAGTCTAGCAAAATATAATAAGAGGATTTTAGTTTTTATAAGATGCATATATTAAAGTTTTGATGGAGGTCAACTGAAATTCCGCAGGACAATTTATTATCAGATGCTCCAAAGCATGCAGAAAGTACTTCAATGGCAGAAAAGGTAATGGACAGTTGCTCCACAATCATGGCTTGGTTAAGTGGCATACATGCTTAATGGATTTTTCATTTTCTTTCCAGGATGTTTCTAGTAACAGTGGTGGTCATACCGAGGAAGTTACTCCGAGTGTCAATAGCAGCAGCAGAAATACATTGTCTTTAGTTGAAGGTTGGTTTCTTATGGTTTGAATCGCAAAACCTAATTTGCAAGAAATTAGATGCAAATTTAAATAACTATTTCTAATGTATTCTTTCATTTGACAGTCCATAACATGGAAAAGGAAAACAAGGACTCAGAGGTCAATGAAGAAGAATCGCCACCAATAAGTGCAAGATTACAAGAATTATCGATTCATTTGAAATCACTCTTTTCTACAACTCCGTTGTGCACAAATATGCCTGAGGAATCAAATAATTTGAAATCACTCTGTCCTGCAACTCCGTTGTGCATAAATATGCCAGAGGGGAATGATGCTTCATCCTACAATCACCTCTCTACTAACATTGAAGAACCAAAAACTCCAGTTATCAATAAGGGTACGAAAGATAATGATAGATGGGAGGTTGGAAATTTCAACAGCCCTTGGGAAACACTTAGTACGCGCAATTCCGAAGTGAAGGTCTGATCTATCCCTTCTCTTCATCCATTTTATGCGTTGACTTTGCTTCTAATGTTATTCTTTCATTGCAGCATTCCCTTGTCCAAGACTATCTTAGCTTCTTAAATACAGCTAGCAAGTAAGTATATGTTTTTTTTCCTTCTAAGTTTCTATTCTGAGCAATGCACTTTGAAAATTTTAGTATTTCTTTAACTCAGTTAAGCTTTCCTCTACAATCTAACCTTTCCTCTGTTTTTTTTTCCACTTCACAGGGAAGAATTGAAAAGATTAAATGTGAGGATCACTACTTTTCCATTATTATCATGGTTTTCTACCATCTTTTCATATTTAACTGATTTGAGATTTTACATATAGGGGATTGGTGAGAAAAGAGCAACCTACATACTTGAATTGCGTGATGAATCTCCTAAGCCCTTCAAGAATGTAAGTATTCTCAATACACAGTATGGGAATTTTTAATTTTTTTTTTCTGTAGTTTTACAATATGCTAATGCAATTTTTAAATTCTCATTTCAATTGTATGGGCCTTCGTCGTGGTAGTTGATTGCTTTTCAATTTTGCTTTTTCAGCTTG